AAGTTGTTACATCGTATATTTTTAAAGATAATGTATAAATTTACCGCGCAAAGTGCAAAATGTAAAAGACGGCAATTTTAGATAGTCGGTTAAACAAACGAATTCTAAATATATCAAAATAACCAAATTACCGTTTGTACACGTGAAATTAATAATTGATCCCGCAAATATCTATGAGAGGAATCAACTTTATATTTATTATTCATTGTTTTCGACTTGTAATCTCCACTAGATCCTTGTAACGGAATGATATCAATCGAAGAATTCAATTTTCCAACTTTCTGCATTTTCTTAATGTCAGGCGTCATAAGCACTTTGGCAGAAATTAAATAATTATTAGACCTTTATTTTTGCTTCCTTATACGTTCTGACACGTGTTATCATATAGGTATTATCAACATTCTTTCACCGCGAGTGCGCTTTTGATTTTAGGAAACTTCAATTCTTAAACTACAATAAAACGAAGAGGGTGCATACTTGAGGCGGGAACAATTTCCCCAGCAAATTATGTTGAAAAGCTAGGAATAAAAAAGATAATGTAGAGTGGAATGTGTTCAAAAAGCATTTGAAACTATTACTACGCTGTAAGAAATTATAGTGTGTTGTGTATTTTGTCACGTCCTAGGTCTTTCTCGATGAAATATCAAGGGACTCTCCTACAGGAGCGCGCACATTGGGATCTTGCCCCATCTCCGGCCTACCGACTCGCACGTTCAGCCACTGTTCAGAGAGAGGAGACACACCTAGGTTTGAAGAAAGATAGAAGTGTTTCGTCTCGGCTCCATCTGTTAGACTCAGTAGGGCTGATGCAGACGAACCCTGTTCCACGCGACTCGGACTGATATTGTGACGTCCAGATTCTGCAACTCATGCGAACGAACCATGAAGTCCACACTCTGCGACTCTCATGTGAATCCATCCTCTCTATTTAACGCATTTACCTATGTACTTACAACTCATAGTGAACTAAATGACATAATTCTACCTTATATTTAATTATCAGGCAATAAAGCGACTCGTCGCGTTTAATTCATATCAAACAGGTAGATCATTACATTGGCGCCGCCTTCCTCATCGACGACGCTGTGGTTCTAGTTTTTACGTTACAGCCGGTACATTATCGGCGACAGGTATTCTACCGACCTGCAACCCACGGCCCACGTTGAACCTGCAGGCGTTCGTTAAAATAAACCACTGAAGGTAAGAGTTTCACTACATTTGCTTGTTCCATACGAAGGAGAGAAACCATTGTGGAATTTGTGGTGTGCAGACTGAAAGAGAATATCGTCAGACGCAGACGTACGGGTTGCGTGGACAAAATAGTTTCTGATCTTTATTCGTTCACGTCTCATGGCACGGGCCGGTTGGTTCTCGCCTAGTTATATTTTTTTTCTTCGCGGGAAGATCAGAGGACGTAACACATCTATGTAGCATTAGTTAGATAGTTCGTATTACACATGCGTATTTTGTGGAGAACGTTCAAGTGTGAAAGCTTGATATATACCATATTTTTTAACCAGTCGACAGCACACCATCATGGCGATGGGTTTTAGTTGCGTCTTTGATTTACAGTTCAGAAATTTGTCGTAATGATCCGAATCGTATTTTTTTGTAATTATTTCTAATATCCGCAAAACTTTTTCTGATTATTTTATTTGGGACTACTTTTATGTGAATTCCATTATGGTGAAATTAACAGAAGAAATGGTCGTGGCTCGGACACGAATGTCCGATTTTTCTGCGGTAAAGAAGCTTAATTGTTGGTAAGTATTTACAAGGATATAACAATTTTTAAATGTGTTGTTATTTATTCTATTATTACTTAACAATATTTATACATGACTGCATTAAAATGACATATGCAAAGTACTACGTTTTTTTTACAAAAGGTGTAACTGTACGATTTACAATTTTGTATCGTGTTCTAATTGGAAAATAGATTGTCTCAATAATTAAATCATTATGTTTTGACATTTCTTATTTCATTTCTTTGTGGTAATTCTTAAGTGTCCTAGATTGTTAGATTTAGTAATACAGAACAAAAATTTTGCACATGTAGCAGATGAGATATTTTTGTTTCGAATTGTCTAATTATAAAATGTTAAATGAAATAAATTTAAGTTATGAAAATGTTTAATTACACATTTTCTTGTATTTAGACTGTAATATCGAAAATGAATTTGTTTCTACAAAATAAATTTTTTAATCTGTTATAAGAATTCTAAAAAAATATTTATAATTGTATAACTAAGTTGGATATTTAAATTAACACATTGTTAATTTAGGGGCACAGAATTAACTGATGTAAGCATTTTAAGGAAAATGAAAAATGTGGAAGTATTATCATTAAGGTAATTTATAAAAACTAGTTATGTTACTATCTATTATTTATTTATGTATAGAAATGTTTGAAAATTACTATTAATCATATAAGAAAATTAATGGTTGCCATTATATTGCTTATAGTAATGATCTCAGTTGTTTATAACTTTTAATATTACTGAAACTTTAATGGAGTCCTATTATAAACAGGTTTATATAAACCTCAAGATCATAGGCACAACCCACAACTTCAGAAGTTGTTCTACCTACACATTTTGAATTCATTGTAATACATTTCAATATTTCTAAAGAAAAATTAAATGACTATGATATAAATAAATACATATAAGTTTCTTATAAAATGATAATATATTTTCATGTTTAATCATTTCATATTGACAATATATGTTATTTTAAGTCTATAACATTATAAAATGAAATGCAATAATAGAATAAAATAATATAGGGTCTCTATTAAACACATCCAATGTGTAAAAGTTTCACCTCATTTATGTATGCCATTATTTATATAAGGTAATTACATTTCATCTAATGTAAGTAAGCTTGTGTACATTGATAAGGATGTAACTTTCTACTTCAGAATTTTATATTAAAACTGGTTTTATATCTTTTGACTTTATTTTTAAATACCCACATATGTATAACATGTAAATAACTTATATTTATTATGTAATTGGCTTTATAATGAGACAACTTTATTGAAATATACATTTGAAATTTATACATAAGAAGTATAATTTTTAATAATTGATTAAATGTATTGTTTAGTAACACATTTTCTAAAAATTGTAATATTACATAAAAAATGTAATTAAAGTTTATTATAAACATTTCTATGCATAAATAGCAGTAGAAATATTTATATTAATATTATTTTGTATTTCAAATTTGTCGTAAATTATCTTAAAATTAATTTGTTTTCAGTGTTAACAATATCAGTACCCTTGCTGATTTTCAATACTGCTTAAGTCTTCAAGATTTATTTGTTAGAAAGAATAATATTAAAGATTTGAATGAAGTTTGTTATCTTCAAGGTTTACCAAATTTAAGAAATTTATGGCTTGGTGAAAATCCTTGTGCTGAGAAAGAAGGGTATGCATAAAATAATTTTATAATTATTTCAATGGGCTTTTTTTAAGTCATTAATTTGATTTCTAGATATCGATTAGCAGTTTTAAGAGCTTTACCAAATCTACAAAATCTTGATGATAAAATAGTATCACCTGAAGAAGTGCAAACTGCATTGACAAGAGGTCGTATATTGGTTCATCCTCTTGAGATGGATGCCTCCCCACCACAATCAGACACAGTTAGTCCAGAAGTAAGACTACTTATAAAATTATGTTTTACTGTATATTGATATAAATCATCATTAATTATTTTATTATAGAATATCTAAATTAAAATCTTAGTGTTGTTAATCATGTATGTTGTGTATGTATTATTAATTGAACTTAGCATAATCTAAATTTTATCTTATGATTTTATTTAATCATGCTACACTAAGTTTATGTAAAAAGCATGATAATATGTTAACATATTTTTAACAAATCTCCTAACATTTGAATAACATTTATACAATTAGGATATTACTACTGAATATATTGAAGAAACCGAAGGGATACGGCATCGAAGATATAGTTCATCAAGTGATCAGGTACTGTAAAGTTTCAACTGTTCATGTTTTTTACTACAATTTTGTTTTAACTAATTTTATAGTACATTTATAAGTATTCTGTTGCAAAGGTCGCATATTTCATTATATTGAAACAATTATATATAACTGAATATGTTTATTCAACATAATGAATTTATATTTTTATATGAATATTTATTTACAGAGAAGCTTAGAAGAAACACAGCATACTCAAGAAGAGTATCATGATCCTGATCACAGAAATGCAAACTATAATGCATCACCATCCCATCATTATTCTCAAAATAATCAATATGCATATGAGGTAAGGCAACTGATTGTTCATTTTGCATGCAAAAATATTTATATAAATATATTTATATGTGTAATGAAAATGTAAAAAAAATTAATTATTCTATGTATTTGAGTTCTTAACGGAGTGCTTTTTATTTTTGCGCTAAATATAGAGTTATAATTACGTTTTTCTCTTAGTAATATTGTTGAGCAAAATAACTAAATTAATATTTAATGAATAAGCATGTTTATATTATTGCTCCTTTTATCTGCAATTATATACTGACAGCTACAGAATGGACAGTCAAAGAATCAAAGCAAAGATGATACTGTACGTACAGAGTCGCGCGACGTCAGTGAAAATGTGGCCACTAATACTATTGAAATAATCAAGGTACATTTTATAGAGTGCACAATGTTTGTGCAGTGTAGTAATTTGTTTCTAGAACTACCTTGATAGTCCTTGTGTTCATTGATTAAACTTATGTATTACTTGCAATTAATCAGTTAGTGGCATTACTATAATTTTAAGTACTTTTTTTAGCATGTAGAGAAGAAATAAAATATAGTAAAGAAAATGTAAAAGATATGTAGAGTGCTTTATCTGTCATATATGTGTAGCATACACTAGTTTATCTAAGTTTGAAATCTAAAATATCTCTATTGTTCTTAATAGTGTGGAAAATTGTCTAAGTATAAGAATATTTTTGTTGTGAAATTTTTTCATACTACAAACAGCTATAGTCTATGGAGATAGTTTAGATTTAAGCTTTAAGTAACTAATTGTGTTGAGTGGTTCACTAGAAACAAACCGCTCAATTATCAGTTTTGTTATTAAAAACAAATTAACCATAAACAAACTGAGTGTAAATTAATTTTGTAATATCTTTTTAAATCTCAAGAAAATTATATATAAGTATATAGTACTATTGCTAAAAGGAAAGTCAACAAACTTTTTGTGTTAAAATTATTTTTAGGAATATGATGATCGTCCTGCAATTTCGAGACATAATGGTGATTATGATGAAAGAAGAACTTATGCGGAATATAGTAATAACGATACGGCACAGCGTCCATATGCACCAACATCTCCAAGAACACAGTATTCTATGAATGAATCTGTAGATGATAGGCGTATAGAAAGAAACAATTATGATTATGATAATAGATTGAAATCTGAATATGAAGAACATCATGACCACAGGATAAAGTCAGATTATGAAGAGCAACAACAACCACCAGCTCAATCAAGACGAATGGCAGTCCATCATAATATGGAGAGGGTTAGAATTAGAACTGTTATTGATTCTATTATGAATATTGCACAAATTATATAAATCAGAACTAATGAAATGAAATTTTCTAACACTACAGGATGATTCAAATCAAGCTCCTGGATGGGTAAGACATACTGACAAAGAAAAGTGCAGGTCACAATTTCATTATCACAGGAGACCCGTTACGAGAGTACGTTTTATGTTACTTTAATTAAAAATTTTGAAATTTAATTAAAAAATAACGAATATTATATATTTTAATTTTAGAATTCCAACATATTATCAGCTGTGTTATGCTTAGTTAAGGAGCTTGATTACCCAAGTTTAGAAGTGGTAGAAATGGCTGTTAGAAATCGAATGGATGAATTAGAAGAATGATGTTTCTGACACCGTCCTCAAAATACTCAGAGGACGGTTGCCTTTTCTCATATGGGCAGTGTTTCTTCGATCCCAAGTCCAGAATTTTCTGATTCTCTTGACAGTACGATAATTCCTTGCCAATGTGTTGACAACGATGCAAATTGTAATCTTGATCATCATACATACGATCGACATTCAGTCGATGACAACGCTGACAAACGTCAAATTCGACGCAATGGATGTACCGAAATTTGTTCGATGCGAAGCCCAAAAAATATGTCTATCCATCCGAGTTCAAGATATTTTGGAAATAATCAATGTGCATATAAGCTTAGAGACTCTGTACCGGATAATTTAATGTCAGTAGTTGACAACTATGAAGAGAAGAAAGCTAATGATGTGAGAAGGGTGGCAAGTAGTGACAGCATCCCCCGTGGTAGTTTCAGTGGTCTAACTTTAAGTCCAGGATGCAGGGTTTTAAGTCAAGATTGTGTAAGAAGGTCAAAAAGTCCCGACGTTAGAAACTCGATGGTTCCCCTTCGCTACATTCAGTCTGCAAAAGGTACTTGGACGTACAATTTATAAGTTAAACTGCAAATAACTTCAATATTTTCTCGAAATAAAAAGATTTCTTTTAAAAACATGTTTCAAGAAATTCCTAAATATTATGATAATCATTGTGTAACTAAAATGAAAGGCATAGTTTCATCCAGGTTTTGGAGAGAATATATATAAAATTAGAAACAATTGTGATATTTCCCCAAGGAGTAAAATATGAAATTTTAACTCAATTATTCGGATGCAACATACAGTATGCGAGTATACTCAATATGTTTATGTATGTACTTTAAGTAGCTAATGTAAAAATCAAAAGTAATGCATTTTGCATTCTTTAAAATAAATTTGATATTTATTGCATTGACGACTTATTAACATGTTGAATGCAGTATTTTTTAATGTTACATATTAATTCTGGTATAATGTTATTTGTGATTTTCATAAATATAAATGGAGTTGTATTTTACATAGTTCTTTATAGCAGTTTGATCTAAATCTTACAGGATTGTTATGTTTTCAAAGACTTTCTATAAATTACATGATATAACATATTTGAATTATAATTTGTATATAAAGCATACAATCAAACATGAATTTATGCTGAATTAGATATTTAAAAAAAATCTTAGATAACTTAAGTTAAGTAACATATTCTATTTACGTTAGATATCTGTAAAAATTTGATCTTTTCCATATGCAATAATTTATCAAATAAAATATTACGTAGTTGCACGTGTATGCGTACTGGGTACTTGCAAATTTTTAAGCAGTACTTTTAATAATTTTAAAACTGTTACTGAACACCACTAAATGCTTGTTTTGCTTTTTTAACAAATGCTTTTGTACACGTTCATATTTACTTAAAAAGCGTTTACAATGATGTGAAAACTCTGTATTATTAAATTTTTTTATTTTCAATATTATCTTTATCATTGAATTAATATGTTCATTAGTAAACTATAAATACAATAACAATTTCATTGATATCAATTGAATCATAAGCAAAATTGTACTTAAAATAAATAAAACATAGTAAAATGATAAAACAAAATATATGAACATCAAGTCTGTGCAACGGCACGTACTATAGATTAATTTTAGACTGATAAATACGTATGGCATATTTTTTGAAATGAAACTCCATATATTACAAATGCGTAAATGATGAAGAAAACACTGAAACAATAGGGCTATTACATTCTTTCTACAATTTAAACCGTTCCATGTAACTAAGCCAATTTTGAACTTAGATTTAAGATATTTTATAAAAGTGCGGAACACAATATCTTTTGTTACATATAACCGTCCACTTGTATTATTTTATAAACAATTAATGTTATTGTTATTTAGTACTGTTACAAGAGCGATTATTACAATTAAGTACTTAATATTTGTTCAATGTAAAATGCAAATATCATTTTTTTTACTTAACTTAAAAAATGTTTTTGAACAAATTATATAATAAAAACAAAAATTATAACACGTCTTTCATTCAATAGTTTGTATTATTAATTTTAGACTGAAAGTAAGCGAATTAAACGTCATTACTTAAAATCATTATTTTTTTATTATATCTATTTTTAAATCTATAGTTAGATTTACAGATCTACAGTTTTTACATGAATTATTAACGTAACATCTTATTCTTTCATTGTTATTCATGTACTTACCAAAGGTTGGAACGCACCTTTGTTGCATAATGTAATGTACTTAATACTAAAAGGACGGTTGTCCACGGCTGCAAAATATCAAAATATCGCGCAGTCTCGTTTAACTCTACCACGTCAATTAATTTTATGTACACTTTTGTCGCTAGGACAACGGTATCGGTAAACTTCGCACTGAAAGTCATACGTATGTTAAAACAATAAAAGTACCTTATATTTGAAAATAGAGGTGAACAGTGAACAATTAAAGAAAAGAATGTCGTTATATGCAACGCCAATACTCTATTTAAACATGGGTGGTGAAATGTTGTATGTTTTGCGACAAAGATTGAAAGCACAAAGGATAAGTGTTGATAAAACTATACAAGGCTAGTGTAACATTATAAAATAAGATATGCAGTATATTACTAATTTATATCGTAAAAATCGTAGTTTTTTATATATAGTTTATATTTCATTGACGTTTACTCCATTTTTAGTACTGGACGATGTAACTGCCGCTTTACTTAATCCTAAAATACTGTCTTCTATATTTGAAGAAAAACCTTTGACTGAAATATCTGTCTTACGGTCTAATTTAGAATGTGCTGTACTATCATCGATAATGAAACTTGATAAAAATAGTATGAATAAATTGTTTGACTTAATGATTATGATGGTTAAGTATCAGTTAACTGCAGCTACTGGTCCTGTAGAAGTTGTACTATTAACATTAAACCATATAGATGCAATGTGTGATATGGTTAGCAATCCAAATGCTCAACAATGTGTTGAGTTGGTACATGGGATGGTGACAGATGTAAGTACTTTGCTCATTGATTAAATTATTTATTTATGTTGAATTTGCAAAAATAATTTACTGACACTTCTACAGTTTTATGGTTCTTTAACTTTTGAAGAGGTCTGGAATGCCAGAAATGATTGTTTGAATGAGTTAGAGACATATTGTGTGAGAGTATCTATTCTTCTTAGACTTGGATTACAAAATGATGATGGTAGTTTTAATTTAACACACCATAAATATGATGAAAAATACGAAGAAAATAAAGTTCGTTTGTCTGGCACGAAATTATGTGATGGTCCTGTAAAACATTTTGGAGAACGCGAGACAATACTTGGCAAAAATATGTAAGTACATAAAAATATGTAAGTTGAACCCTTTTAAATTTTGCTAAAAATGAAGTGTATGAAAAAATATGCAGGTATTCAGTATCATATGGTATATCAAAGCTAGCCGCTGAACAGGAAAATGATAATTACATAAAAGATTGTGGTACAAAAGCAGAACTCCGTATGTTAGCTGTTCAACTTGGAACCGAAGAAACTTCGTATCAGCGACCTTTTACTTTAAATTTATTTTCAAATGACGATAATGATAACGAAAACATAAAAAAGGAAAATTCTGATTTTAAAGAAGATGATCAAAGTGATACGACAGTTACAAAATACGAAAAAACGAAATTTAATGAGAATTATAAAATGAAACTCGACAATATATGTGCAGATCTTTTTGAGGATAATCATGAAGGATTAAAACGCAGCATGAATTTGTTGGAACTTTTAGACAAAACGGAATAATTTTATTTTTAGATTACACCGTAATGTAACTAAAAATTTCTTATACATTTTCTTTATAATTACTCAGTGTCCCACCTAAGATAGGTCACCTAATATATTTTCGTCTCATTAGGACTATACAAAAAAACATTGTACAGGTACTTTTAATAATTTAAAAAATAGTATACTGTAATGAAAACTATTTTTTCAATTCATTTTTTTGGAAATTTTGAACAAGCAGCCCCAAAGTCAAAGTTTACGAATAGAGTTTTGCATATTTTGTTAGTAGTGAACAACTCTGTATCTGGCTGACATTGGTATATAACAGCAGGATGTGAGACGAGAGTACATGGACGACTTGGTAACTGTTTTATCATCAGTAGGTACAAGGAATCCAGGGACAGCCTTGATTGAAGTGGCTTAACATTAACTATGTGTACTGTATACTTAATTATTATATAATCATTCCTGGATTAATAGAACATTCAAAAGGGACTATTACAACTCGATCTCACAGAGCTCATTCTGAATCTGAACTAGTACTCTAATAGAATTATTAAACCTTTTTCCTTTTCTCTCTGTTTCACTTGAATTTTGGGAACAGTATAGCACCTGAGGTCACAGCCTTTCTATGTATTACACTTAAAGCAATTTAACTTAATAAAGAATATGAGGGTGGCTTTATTTATTAAGTATAATGAGTCTGATATCGGGGAAAGTTTCGAAAAATCCGTGAGACATGACACGATAATATATTATATATACAGAACATTTAATAATAAATCGCAATTTCTTATTAATTTAAAAGTTTTATTTAAAAACGGACTACAGAATTAATATTTCTGATAGTGTAATAAACATACTAATAATTATTTTTCGTACATGTAAAAAGTACTAAATATACGGAAAATGCAGCAGTTTTATTCAGAAACCATTATTTATAAATAATTTGTTCTAAGATTTAGTCATATCCAAAATGTACTTCACTCCAGTTCGACCATCAGTACTAAGTGCATTTGCAACAGCTTCCTGATATTGACAGAATGGAACTAACTTATGTGGAGGAGCTTTTAATTTTTTGTCTTTAAACAATGTTCCTAATTCAATGAACATGTTTTCACGTTCTTTCGAATTTATATTTGTTTTCGTCCATGCCGTCATCCAAAATCCTTTTAAAGTTATATCCTATTTAATATTTTAGGTTATTAATAAATATCACTGACTTAATTATGATTTAATTATAATAATTATGATGTATATTATTTTATGAATTTTAATTGAAGTACCTTAAAAATAAGTGCAGAAGTTGGAACTGTCAAAGGCTCTCTAGACATACCACCATAAGTTACCATAATACCTCCATGTGCTAAATGTCTCAGAACTTCTAATGCATTTTGTCCACATATACAATTAAGAGCTAATTTTGGTGAAGGTAACTTTTTACTTTTAAAAATTTGAGTTTTCCTTATTTCATTTTCAGTAAGGATTTCATCTGCACCCAAGTTTGTCAAATGATCCTGCAAAGATTTTTATCAATAAGCAGAAATAAAAATTTACCTTTTTAACTTTTCTATACCTTTAATTTTTGTATGTTTGGCCTCTCTCTGACAACACTGACAGACTTGTAATTCCATATTTTGCATAATTGTATAACAATTTGTCCAACTGCTGAATTTCCACCATTTTGGATTACAGTATCTCCAGGTTTCAAAGCTACAAAATCTTTAAGCATTCTATATGCAGTACATGGATTTACATTTAACATACTAGCTTCTATGGTACCCACATCTTTTGGAATCTATGTTTTTAACAAAAGTCATGTTAATGTTAATGTTTATAATCTTCTCATATATAGACTTCAAAAAATTTGAACAATATTTTTTATACCTTCATAAGTTCTTCTGAATTGTAAGTTGCATGTGTTCTCCATGTTCCTAAGTTTGCACCATTTGGTACAACTCTGTCACCGATATTTAAATCTTTTACATTAGATCCAACAGCTATTATTTCACCTACTCCTTCATTTCCTGGAATAGCTGGTAAAGGTGGTTTACTTGGATATTTACCTTGTATTGTGTTTATGTCTGCTGGATTAACCGGTGCTAACAACCATTTTACAGAAACCTTTATAAAGAATAATTTAAATAATTTTTTTTATCATACTATGTTATATATTTTTTTCAATTTAATTACCTGATTATTTTCTGGTTGATTAATAGCTTGTGTTGTAACATGTAATACATCTACAGGTTCTCCATATTCTTTGTATAATAAGGATTTTACAGAATCTGCTTTAACTGCAGCATTCATTTGGCGAACCGATGTAAAATTTGTTATAATCGATCGTGATAGTGGTGAAACAAAATTCCTTACGCATATAACCATTTTATTGTTCTATATAATAATAGTTATTAAACTATTCTTATTTTTTTCAAGAGTATATTTTTGAAAAGTTATAATTCTTTCCAATAGTTATGACAACGGTTAAGAGATCGCGCAATACATATATTCATACAATTATGAATTCGTACGTACAATAAATGAATTATATTTTAACTTATACGATGTATTATTTTGTGTTATAATTATAACAAATTTATTAAAAACAAATTTGGCTAATAACTTTATTTAATATACATCAATTTGCAAAATTTACTCTTACGATATTTTAATATTTTAAAAATTATAACATTTATGTTACTTAAGATTGTATGTTATAAAGATATATTCTTTAATCAGCTTGAATTAATATCTATTTTACACATTTTTGCTAAATATTCTTTTATGATTGCAAAACCATGTTAAACTAGAATCATCATTGGTTTTTGTTATCAGTAATACCAAGCGTAAGTCGAAAACTTCCATGGATAGATAGGGAATTTTTACAAAATTAAATAAAAAATAAATTAAAAAATATTCTCGTTTCCTAATCTTGAGAAGTGATTCTTCAGTTATCAAAGGGGAAAGTTGTAATTAGTACTTCCTGAAATGAGTTTAACAACCTCGAACTGTTACAGTTTGTATAGTGAGTTACGATTTGACATTTTAATAAATGACATCATAAGTTTCTGGCTTATTTACGTCTAACAACAGTTTTGTACATTGTTATGTAAATAAAGAACAAAGTACGTGCATTAAGTAATATATTAAATTAGTTCACTAAACAAATTAAGAAATATTTACAATTCTTGTCATTTACCATCAATAGATTTTTCTATAACCCTATTAATTGTTTAAAATTTCGAGTGAAATAAG